CCCCCTTAAAATCATTGTGAAAGTTAAAAATTTCTTTCTTCAGTTAATTGAAGGTATTAAGAATGGTAGACCCTGGGAGAAACCTTTATGAGCTGTTGCACCATTATTTGAGGATTCTGTTAGGCAAGGTCAAAAAAAGAATTATCACTTTGCTTTCCTCTTCAAAAAATGAGGTATCGTGATTCACAATAGAGGGTAAGAAACCTAAGCTTTCTCTCTTGACTCTCATAAAAGAAAATCAACAAACAGGAATGTAACATACTCTTTTCCACAATTCAACTTCATTTCTCCCCTTTGCTTCAGAGTTCAAAAAGGGACCACTGTAACATTCTCCCTTCCTCCTGTTTCAGTATCTATTTCGAGTAACCATGTTATAGCATTTTGCAGGTTGTCTTTGGACTCACGTTAAATGATTTATTACTGGTTTTATTGGTAGCCTGTGGCTGAGTCAATGTGCTATAGAATTATACAGCTCCTGGAGCATATTTGTAATTGAATTATAGAGCATTTTGTGAACATTTGAGGCAATGCTTAGAAGACTGTGAAACTCAACAGGGCTCTTTTCAGAGAAAGTTTACAAGTGAGAATGTGTGCTTCACATAAAACAGGAAAAATAAGCCAGTTAGTATGAATCAACTGGGCTGTCCTTTAAGGGCACCATTCTGTGGAGGCAAAAGCTGGCTTTGGAATGCAGTGAAGGTAGTGAAGATGAATAGTTAGGATTGTGAAGGCAAGAATCCATTAAGTGAGGGAGGGTTGGGGTTGTTAATGATAAGGATTGGCAGAGTACCTCTCATGATGGCAAGAAAGGGAAGGAAGTCCCAGGGTGAGGAGAGAGAAATACTAGGACGACCAGCGATCATATCGGTGGGAGATCTAGGATAGGAAAGAGAGCTGAGAGCAGCCAAGAATGGAGCACTGATGAACTCGCAATCCTAGCAAAGAGAATGACAGGTCATACTCTGAAAAGCTAATGAATGATATTGATGGAATCTAAGCTAGACAGAGTGGGCTCAGGGCAAAATGTGGGCTTCAGGAGAGAAAATTACCTTGCTTCCAGGTTTATGATAAATCATGTAACCCTTTGCTCGGGCAATCCTAGTACTGTGAGCTGGATTGTTGCAAGCATTCAGCTTCTAGAGTCCTTGCAGCATCTGCCTTAAAGTTCCTGCTTCATCATTATGGATCTTTCTTGTGATCTACCCTCCTTACCCATTTTCAGATCAGTGGGGTTGGCTGTTTTAATTCACTACCAAAGAAATTTTTCTTTTCCAGTTTGGTGGTGTGCTCTTTATTGCTGAATCTTTCTGTGCTGCTGCCGCTCATGGCAAGTCTCCAGATGACTCTTAATTAGTGCTGTTAGCAGTGCTGTATATACTTGAATTTAAGTGTATGACTGAGGGTTGTGT